CATTACAGAGCTCCGGAGGTTATTTTAGGTCAGTAGAGATTTTTTAATCTTCTCACAGTTACAGTTTCTTCAGCTGTGTTTACTCTGTGAACTGGAGTAGTTGCTCATGGTTCTGGTAATTCAGTCATCTCTCATGGATGGTGGTGTTGGAATTCTTGAGAGTAGACAGTAAAAACTCAAAACAGAAGTCCAGACATGTTCCTTTACCCACTTTCTCCCACCAAGGTTTGGGGAGAGGTATGGAGGGGGGAAATAGGCATCAGTAAATGCATGGAAACAGGGCATATGCTTTGTGGATTACAGGTTTTGAGAATATATTAAACAGTAAAACATAAACTTTACCTCTTTTGCAGCACTGGGATGGTCACAGCCTTGTGATGTTTGGAGTATTGGTTGCATTCTAATTGAGTATTACCTGGGATTTACAGTGTTCCAGGTATGTGAATAGAGTTAAACTGAATGTTTTTGTTCGACTGCTGATTTTGATTGTTTAATGACATGTACTTAACTGTTACTGTAAAAGGCATAACCTTACAGGCTTTTTAAGGATTATATAGATAAGTTTGTAAAGACAGCAGGCATATATGAAGAGGTGATGTCTGGAATATATCCTTCAGACTATTTAAGGTGCTCTGTTCTGGCTTTCTGGATGACAAAGTCTGCATAGAGTCTGAAGATAATGCTGGAATTAAGAGTAAAGAAAACTTACTCATACAAAACTTGGTTTATGAACTCTGTTGTTCAGGGGACATCTTAGCTGTAGAACGTGCTGTATAAGAAGCTGCATTGCATAATCTATTTGTAATAATTTAAGGCATTAATGTGTAAAGATACTGTAACAGTATTCTGGCAAACAACTTGCTTTTAGATGACGTGTTCCCTGAGAGTAGAAACGTGTTAAGTGCATTTATTGCTTTTTCCACACAGACACATGATAGTAAAGAACACTTGGCTATGATGGAAAGAATACTAGGGCCTCTGCCAGCTCACATGATCAAGAAATCCAGGTAAGTTATTACAGAAGAAGTAGGTTTCCTAATACTTTATTATTCAAAGAGAAATCTTAAAAGTTCTCATTGTTAGCTATGTGATTCTAAAGATCAACAAAGAGACTTCCAGGCTTCTTTTTACCTCTTAGTCTGTTGCAAGAAATTGGTCAGATTTAGGTGAATTAAATAGTTGACAGTAGTCCTCTCTTCTGGTTTTAGTCTTAAGTGCTGCTCTTTAAAGACATTTGGGAATGTTCAGTAGAACACCTGAAAACATCCATCTCTTGTTTTCTAAATAATCTGACAATGGTAACAAAAACAACAGCTCTGAATAAATAAAGAAATGTTAGGTACCAAATGCAAAGGGGTGTGCAGGAAAACTTCCATGGTGTTTCAGAACTTCTGAGAAAAGCATCTGCCTTCACTTGGTGCACTCACGTTATCTTAACATTACTTCCCTTGTTCTGCAGGAAGCATTATTTCCACCATGACCAGTTGGACTGGGATGAACACAGCTCTGCAGGACGCTACGTTAGGAGACGCTGTAAGCCTTTAAAGGTAGGAGACAAGACTTTTGTTACTTTGTTAGATTCATGGTTGTGAAAGATCTCTTTAAAATACTTCCTTTTATTTTCTTTCAGGAATTCATGCATTGCCAAGACACAGATCATCAAAGACTCTTCGACCTTGTTCGCAGGATGCTGGAATACGATCCAGCCAAACGAATTACTCTTGATGAAGCTTTGCAGCATCCTTTTTTTGAACCATTAAATAAGTAAATTCAAAGATCTTTTATGCTTCTTCAAGGAGATTTCCTAGACTGTGTCAGTCAACAGAGGTTGCATGAAACTTTTGTAAGCGTTAAATTATTTTGTACAGTTAAGTCTGTAAATAATGCCATATGTTTTGTATGACTGTTATGTTTACCTTGTTGAGCAGTTGTAGTCTTATGGGTAAGTGAAAAATAAAAGTAATTTTCCTTTTTAATTTTCTCTCTGAAGCTGTAACCCCTCTCCCTCTGTGGATGGGGTTTGTTAAACATCTGACTTCAGGTGAGGAGTCTGTGCTAGTTCTGAAACATTCAGTAATTTAAACAGTCTTCCATGTAATCACAGAGAAAAGATTTGAAGGGCTGAGGCTATCTAATCATGCTGTATAGTATGTTGTGATAGCATTCTGAAATACCGGTTGTGTGTATTCTCAGTAGGGATCTCTTCTGTGGGTCACCTGTCAAAGAGCGTGTGTTGCTCTGGCTAATTTGTCTCTGGAAGCTTGTTGATGCTTTCAGTGTTGTTTATAGGCAGGTTTTTTTTGTCAAGGCCTGAAAAGTAACATTTCGTATTTTCAGTATTGTTTTAATTCATTAAAGATGAGCAATTTAATGAAGAGTTTTAGAGGAGTTGTACTGCCCCTGGAGAAAAATGCAGAGAAATAACTGTGTGCTACAGATTGTCACATATCTGGGCTTTCCTCCTGCAGTAGTAACAAGATCATTCCAAAGTCTTCAAATACCTATCTCTGTGATGCTTGATTTCTTATTACCGATAAATTGAGTAATCTTGGCAATGGAGAGACACTGTCATTGGACTGGAAATGGGAAGGAGGGGGACAGGTTCAGCTGTGACTCCTGAACTCAGGTGTCGAGAGGAGAAGAGTACTGCTTTCTAAGCCCAGTTGACGCACTTTGGTAGTTTTTGCTTTTCAGTGTTCAAATTGATGCTTTCCTAGTCTTGTTCAGCACTTGTAATCCATTCAACATGTAGGGTTGGCTTGCTGGGCAGGAGGGAAGCTTCTAGGGTTCATTCAGGCTGGCTGTAGGTGCAGTAAGTTTTGGCAATTTATTTTCAGTCCTGACTTCACTGTGTAAGTCTTTCTTAAGGGAGGAAACACTAAATTGTTTCAGCTCCGCAGGAGTCTTGGCTTCAGGTTTTGTGCTTGCTAAGTCTTGATGTGGGGTAAGATTTTAAGCTGATGTCCTTGTTTCACTGATGTGGAGGCGGCTTAATTTGCAAGAGGCTCCAGACATACATATTGGGGGTTGTGTAGAGCTGGGGCAAGCTTTGAAAGCTTATCTTCCGTAGGCGCTGCCCCCTCCTGTGCTTGATTATCTCATAATAGATGATGTTCACATCATTGTTTCTACTCTGCATGACAGAAACCGTAATGGTTGGTACTATCCAGCTCAGTGAGGAGATTGAGGACAGGAGTGAATTCTTTCCCTTGCTTCTGCCCTTATTATTTCCCATCCCACACCTTCAGAGGTAAAGCAAAGGCTTGGCTGAGCCTATCAGTTAAGCAACACAAATCAAAGGCAGATGGGGGGGGGGGGGGAGTTTATAAGCTGCTGTAACTATTAAACTGTAACTATAAAACAGTTTGTCAAAATTAGTAAGGGTAGGACTGCGTACTCGTGCTTCAAGAGTACTTGTAGCCTTGGGTAGTGTAGGTATTAAAATGCATTGCACTTGCTAAAGGAGATATGTGCTACGACAATCACACATTATAGAAACCTGTTTAAATTCTTTCCTTCTCTTAGAAGGAATCTTAACCCCTGCGCCTCCCATTGTCTTAACATGTAAGTATAATGGGGGTAGTTTGTAATCTTTCATGTTTGCATGAAGCTAGTTCTAACTCCTTATAGCTGCTGGTAAATAATTACAGGATCCTTTTGCGTCTTTCTCTACACTTCAAACTTTTAGCTGTTGTACATTGCAAACATGGTCTGTAAATCCATGGACAGTTCAGCCACACCAACACCACCCACCTCCATCACGTATCAGGTACACATTTCACTAAACACAGGCGACAGGACAAAATAAAGCTGTTGTGAGTGAGCAGGCCAGGCTTTACTCCACAGAACCTCCCCGAACCGCTGCTGCTGTGTGCGTGCAATCAAACTCACAGGGCTTGTAAGTGCAGTCTCAGCAGGCTCATGGCAGGGGGTGGGGGAGAGGTAAGGAGGAGGCTGCTTTTGAAAACCTGGGGTTTTCTTTGATCCTTGGGCCCATGGAGAGCAGGAAATGGTTGTTACTGAAGGGTACAGATATGCCTGGCTCACTGGTTTGGTAATAGTGGCTGTCAAAAAGCAGCTTGCAATGCGCACCCTGGCAGTCCAGGTACAAGGGTATGTTTTGTTAATGCACTTAACTAGACCATGCGCTAGTACCATTTTCTAACTGGCCTAGGCTTCGCTCATCTATTCTCAAAGAATTACTCCTAGAAGAAGAGCAGGGTGTTGGGCTAGGAGGCAAAGACTGGGTTTGTATACCATGTGCTTAGAGTCTAGACAGGCATTAAGTTATCCGGGGGTGTTTTATAGGCAAGTTCAGAGCTGACGTGATGAGATCTGTAGCAGTGAGAAAAAGGCTGTGGTGGTTGGCTAAGTCTGGGGTGCTTCATGCTCGTATGTGAGCATCGTTTCTCTTGTTCAGAGGCACCCTAAGGGAGATGTGGCTCTTGGATCTGCTAACCCTGGTGAAGACCTGCTGGGATTGGCCATGAAGTCCCTTCCCCGGGCCGGGTCAGGGCTGGGCTCAGGCAGCACAAAGCTCCCCTTCGCTTGACGCCTCTTGCGGGTCGCGCTCGTGGGGAGCGAGGGTCCCGTCCGGTGAGCGGCTCTGCCCGGGGGTATCCGCTGCGGCCCCGCTGGAGGGCGCCCGCTCCGCGGCCGCTTGCGCGGCTGCCTCCTGGCTCTGCGGCTGGAGCCGAGCCCCTCGGTCCCGGGGCCGCCCGCAGGGCACCGCCGGGACCCCCGGGGAAGGGAGGGCGGGGAGCAAGGGGGAAGGAGCGGTCCCCGCCGGGGGGGGGGCGGGCAGAGGGGTGGGATCTGCTCCGCGCAATCCCCGATGGAGGGCGGCGGGCAGCGCTCGGAGCATCCCCCCTTCCCCAGCGCGGGGGGGAGGCGGCGGGGGAGCCGCCACCCCCCGCTTCCTCCGTTTAAGACCCGGGGCTGGCGGGGCTGGCGGAGGAGAGCGGTGTCTCCGCAGCTGCCGGCCCCACTTCCGCGGCGCGCAGCGCGCAGGGCGGGCGCTGGATGCGCCGGCGGGGGCAGGCGGGCGGCAGCCGAGCGGGACCCCGCGCAGCGGCGCGATGAGCGCGGGCAGCGGAGCCGCGGCGGGCACCGCCACCTCCGCCCTCTGCCTGCTCCTCTCGCTCACCGCCGTGGCCGTGTGCCTGCTGCTGGGCGCCAAGACGGCGGAGCTGCAGGGCCGGCTGGCAGCCCTGGAGGAGCGCGGACCCGGGCCGCTGCTGGACGCGCTGCAGCCCCGCGTGGAGCAGCTCTTCCGAGAGGTGAGTCCCGCCGCACAGGACCGGGGACGGGCGCTTGGGCAGGGAGCTGCGGGGAACCCCCCGCTCGCCCTGTGGGTCCCGGCGGCTGTTTCCCCTGGGGAAAACTTGCTCCTTTCAGCCAAACTTCGCCCGTTACGGACGAGGCGTTGCAGAGCCCTTAGGATTTAAGAGCGAAAATGGCCCAGATGGAAAGGCTGCGATTTATGTTCGAGGACACGCGACTTTGTCCCTCGTTCTATTCACTGGCAAAGATAACGCGAGTACCTAAATGCTATTTACCTTCTAATGCGATGGACTATGATTTCCTAGACAGAAATTTTGCAAACACGATCCCTGTTATCTGGACAGCCTCTCGCAGAGTATCGTGTGGTCCAGCAGTGCTGAACTGCGTTTTGGCAGGTAGAGAAGATGAGCAACTAGTTAATTCACTTTCAGCCCCAGGGTTTTCAGAGATTATCCAATAAAGATTTCTGTGCTGGAAGATTTCTCCCATCTGGAGAACGATTATCCACACTGGTGCCCTTCTCCATAACTAAACCGTATCTTTGGGAGGAGTTACACTTGATCCCAGGCTTGTATTTTTCCCCAGACTCTGGTGTTTAGGTTTGGGGCTTTCCACAGACAAGGAGTGTGGGGAGGGCTCCCATAGGAAATGCTGGAAGATCCCGCAGTTGTTTTGCTGGACTTGGGTAAACAGTAGTTCATAAAGCGCAGCACGGCTACGGGGCTGCCGCGGGACGCTCCGCTGCGATCGCTCCTGACATCTGGGGAAGGTTTTACACCGGGATTAGTTAACGGCCTGACTGGGGTGCAGAACACGGAGCTGCATTACAGCCAGGGAGCCCCCACCGAGCAGAAATGTGTTTGTCAGCAGCGCCTTCCAGCTGTGAGCACCTCTGGGGCTGCGCGGGGGATGGATGGAGGCAGCGCGGGTGGGACAAGCCCTCCTCCTGCCTGTTGCTGTCGGAGTGACGGTGGGAGCATTCACTCACCTGGAAGCCCGGTTCCATTGCTATGCCTGGGTAAAAGGGGAATGTTAGGAAGTGTTTTTGTGACCCCCCCTGAATACCAGACTAGGGGGGAGACCGCCGGGTGTGATCACAGAGCCCAGTTAACGTCTTCTCTCCGGGCAGGAATTAGCCTGCCAGTCGTGGCAGTTGTTCTGTTCCAATTACTCCAATAAATGTGCTCAGCAATGGGAATGGTTTCTGTGGCACTGCCTCAGATCATGTGCAACCTCTTGCTGAGATTTAGTTAAGTGTAGAAAGCTTGTTTTGTACTGGGAATGCTCAGATGGAGATTATACAGGGGAAAACAGAGCAAAACCGCATAATTGGGCTTCTAATGCAAGAGGGAGCTTGTTGAAACGCTTTGTATGACCAATGTTTTGTCAATACTGAAAGCAAACCTTGAAACGAGTAACAGATTCAAGGAATGAGTGGTAGCGATTGGGCTGTCTATTAATAGTTCTTTTAAATGAACCTCTTCATGTATGGTAATGTTTCAGAAAGCTCCTGTCTCTTGACCAAACCCGTCTCTGTTTCATAAGACTCCTTGCTCATCAGGCGACTTCTTTCTGTGCTGGAGAGTTTCTGGGGAGCGAGGGAGTATTTCCATCATCATGAACATCAACTGGTGCCTGGGGTCAGCTTTTCTGTTCAGTTCTGTGTTGGGCCTCCTTTGAAGTTTGCCACAACATTTCAGAAGTGAAACCAAAGCCCCATACGCTCTCTGTGCATGACCCAGCGTACTTTGTTCTCTGTCACTGCCCCAAAAGCATTACCCCATCTACCAGTCTAAGGGTTTGCTGGAGTAATTTATGGCAGAGCTGTGTATGAAGAGCAGCAAATACAACACCAACATGCTGGCTCTGTTTCTTTTAGTGTTGTTTAAATGTGTGGCAAGTAAAGGAGGATAGGAAATAATAAAGCGTGAGTGGGTAGTTAAGGCAATGAAAGGCAATTTGGACAGCTAGGATTTCATTTCTGGCCCTGTGAAAGGCACCTGAGAAATTGCTGATTATAATGTGGTGGGGCCTTGCCCTTCCCTTGGCTGGGGCATGCTGCAGGGTCCTGCTCTGATGCCCTCTGAAACGTTTCCAACAGCGTGGTCTGAACGTGGTAGCATCTCCACTTGCTCTACATCCAAGCCCCAGTTTGCAGTGTGCCGTTTTCATACTGGAGGGAGGATGTTAATGGGAGGATTATAGAAGCATCCAGTTGTTGTAAACAAAGCTGGACCGTTCCGTTCCCAAGGGATTTATTGTCTGCAATAGGCAGACAGTGTCCAGATTAATCAATTTCATGACAAGAACAATTCAATGGGAGAACAGAGGACTCGCCCCCGGATTCAGATCTCCTATTCCCAGGGATGCCTGCTGAACCCAAAGGATGGAAGAGCTCGTTTTAATTTCCTCGAGCACCCTCATCATCCAAATTACTTTAAACAGATCAAAACTGAGCATCTTTCTAACATTCAGACTGCAGGTGCCTGTCAGAGAAGTCTCTGCAGATGCTTCCTTGACACTTTTCCTCAAGGAAAGCCTATGTTTCGCAGGAGGCAGCCAGATCATTTTGGTATTATCATAGGGCAACACCTTCATCAGGTGCTATGAAACGGTGTCGATACTTTCAGGACCTCTTAGCATCACATCTGAGCAGCTAGAGAGGAATGCCTGGGATTTCAACAACAGATAAAACCTCTAAATCCCCAGAATAAAAGGAAAAGAACCTAACTCACATATAGTCTAATTCCAGAACAGTCCACAGTGTTCAAACATAGAGTGGATTGTCAACTGTATAAAAGTCAAGTCTGAATACCCTGAATTCAGTAAGTACTTGGAGCTTTCTCTCTTGGACACTCAGGGACTCCAGTTATCGGTTATTGGTTTCTCTCTTAGTAAACTGATGAGACAGGGGATTCCTGGAGGATAGAGAGAGATTGTGGGTGAAGATGAGATGTTCCCACCCTTGCTGCCCCCCCCCAGCCACGAAGCACCAAGCCTGAGCTAATACAACCTACCTGTCATCAGGGCTCATTACCTCGGGCTTGGCAGTGTCCTAAATGCAGGCATGAACATTTCGGTTGGCTTAGAGAGCAGGCAGAGCACTCACATCTGTCTGCAGCATGCTTTAGGTGTGTGAATTTAGATGTTTTCTGGTTGTCTCACTGATGGGTTCTTCACCCTGGGGATGGAAACACTGGGCTTTGGGTTGACCTGGGGGTGTGAGAGCACCCCAGTGTCACTGGCACTGGCCTTCACCTCCTCATCCCTCCCCTAAAGAAACCTGTTACACTGCACAAGGCTTGAATTCTAAGTATAAAATCAGCTGAATCAGGCCACGTCTGCTGTGCAAATATCACCCTGGTATGTAAACTCCTGGCTGCCTGGAACCAGCTTCACTGTTGGTTGCAGCGAGGCTTTCCCTGGCGCCTTTGCCTGACCCTGCTACCAAACACACTGAGACGATGCTGACATCTGAACATGGGACGTATGTCAGGATGAATCCAGCCCATGGTGCTCAGCTCAAGGGACTTTTGGGCTGTGCAGTATCTGCCTGCCCCGTGCAAGGGCTGTAGACTGATCACTTGCTTAGAAACATTTAGTCTCTCGTGTACTGCCATAGCATAGGGCATTATCCAAAGAGGCTGAACGTAACAGGATGAAACCATTACCCCTCAGTGGAAGGAAGCGTGCTGGATGTTGGCATGCACACACAATCCACATTTAGATATAATATATTCTCTAAATGGCTCTTTTCATTCCTTCTCCAAACAGAAACTGGGTGAAGGACTGGCAAAGCTGCGGACGGCGAGAGAGGCTCCATCAGACTGCATGTGCCCCCCAGGTAGGTGAAAACACACCAGCAGAGCCAGCACCAGACTGCCCAAGAGCTGCCTGCTCACTGGATCAATGCACTGAGTTCCTCCTCTCCCGTTTTCTATAATCCTCCCTATTAAGCAAAATGCATTAAGAAGTGTTTCTTTTCAAGCTGAAGCACTCTCTTTAGTTTGGGACTGTTAACATCTTCCATTGCCTTCCTTTGGCCTGTTTACAGATAAAGGAGTTTGAGGTTTGGACCAAAGCAACATTTGGCTATAAGAATCAAAGGGCAAATAGCTTGTGAGCCCTGAGTGTTGGGCCAAGACAATTTAGAAGTAGTAACAAAATCACTGGGGCTTCATGCAAGTGTGATAATTAAAAGCTGCAGCCTCTGAGCCTTGCTCCGGCGCTGCCTTGCTGCAGGAAAGCTGTCACTGATTGTTTAAATTTCCTCCCAGAGTTTAATGAACTTCTTAAACTGTCAAAACTTCCTGTTCTGCTGTGGAAGTGCATGCTCCTTGGAAACAATAAACAGCTTAGATTAGTTTGTAAAGGAATCTCATCTACAGAAATGCTGTGTTAAGTGCTGTGCGGTCATACCCAAGGGCATGAATGGCTTCAGGCTGAGGCACTTCAAGCCCTTTCTTTCCACTGAAGCAGCGAAAGATGGGTGAAAGATGTGCAGTGCTTTGATGGGGGAGAGTGCACAGGCCTGTTACAGAGCCTTGCAAGTGCCATAGTTCAGTTCTGGTTTTAAAGGAAGAAACAAATCATAAATGCTACATGTAAAAGCATAATAGACAAATGGGCAGTCTCAGTTTTTCCTGCCACTCTGGGTATGGATCCTACCAGAACACACAGCGTTAGTTTGTACACACAAGACAAAAAATGGACTTTTTTTGCCATAATAACCTTGGAAACAGTTCAGTATTGATGCTCTTCAATGTGCTGCTTTCCTTTTCTAGTGAAAGGCTCCTATGGCTGTCCTGTACGCCTGTATCCAAACCCATCAGCTGAGACGCAAACCATGCTTGTTTTCAGCTCTTCCAACAGCAGTGGTCAAATCAGTTTTCTTCCTTCTGATGTACAGACCCAGCCAAGTCTGTTGTCAGCCTCACAGGGCTCTGCTGCTGCATCTTGCTCTGGTCAGTGCAGCCAGGGTGCTACTGGTGTGCTTAAGCGGTCAAGAGGCTTTTCCTTTGCTCTGCAGAAAGCAATTGGGATTGAAGAGGCTCCTTTGTGGCCAGGAAAGTCCCAGTTCTGTTCCGGGTCACTGGGTTTGATGGTTGTTGTGTTTGAGAGATGGGGAGAAGAGAGGAGGGGGAAGGTTTTCCCATGTGCTGCTGAAATACTCATTACAGTCATTAGGAACGAATGTCAAAGTAATTGGAAGGAGAAGTGATTTCCCCTGGGTAAGAAACATGGCATCGGTGACTGCTTCTGGCTACCACTGTTGGGGAGCCAAGTGCTGTGCTAAGGTGAGGGTGTGCTGCTGAGCTGTTGTGAAGCCTTTTGGCTGTTTCTGAGCAAATCAAAGGAATCTTTACCCATGTTTCTTTTCCTCTTTCTCTTGAAGAAGGCTGAATTGCCTTTCTGGTCTGCAGTTAAAGAGCTTGGTCCAGAAACATCCTGAGAGCTCGTGGTCCTCACTGGCTTCTGCTGCAGAGCTACAACAGGATGAAAACTAAGAGCTAAGCTTCAATTTGCTTCCATGCACTAAGAAAGCAGGCCCTGGTGAAGGAAATTTCTCCCCTTGAGGGGACTGGGAGATAGGGAGATCCTGCAAGCTTTACCCATGGGCAGGGGGAAGCAGGGAGCATGCATGGGCAGCTGGAAGCTGGTGGGTATCCTAAACACCTGGGCTAGGGGGCTTTCCTCCTCCAGAAACCCTGCTAAGCTTAAGAGTTCTTTTCTATTACTGGATTTAAAGCAAGCCAACCAAAGAGCTGTTGATGGTGATGCTGTCTGCAGCATCATGCCAGTGGTCCCTCCCTTGGTGCCTCTTTGGGAAGAGGGGAACTTGGTGCCCTGCAAACCCATAGCAGTGGCAGGAGCAAACTGTGTGCTCAGGGCTGGCCTTGTTTTAAAGAAGACCCAGTATTTTTCCTTGAAGCGAGTCAATGTGGAGGTTTGTTGGGGTTCGAGGGGCTGAGGGCTGTTGTTAGGGGACCTGCCTTGATAAAATTGACCTGTAACGTGTTAAAAGCAGTTTGGGACCAGATGACTAAGGTCCACTTAAGTTAAATAAGGCTTAAATTATTTCAACTACAGCAAAGCCCTAAATCAGTGTTTGTAAAACACACAAACAAAATAAATTTCCCTAGAAAAAAACAAAAACAAAACTGACCCCTTTTGTGCTTTGTGTTCTGTAGTCAGTCACCTATTTGGCTACAGGGCTCAGCTGGGTTCTTATAAAGTAGCTTGGTTTTGAAAATGGGACCCGGAGGGCTTTTTGGGGCTAAGCTGGGGGGTCCAGGGCTGGTGGCACCACAGGGGTTGGTGGCCAGCAGAGGGGGCCCGGCTGTTGTACCAAGGCCATGGAGACATGCTGATCCTCGTGGAAAATGACCATCACTGGTAAAAAACCTGAACAAAATTACTCCTCTGGCTCTGACACTGGACAAGCTGCAGGAAGGTGTCTCTGCAGCTGTTCTCAGCATCTGTGTGCTGCCTTGAGTTGACTTGTTTTGCTTTATACATCCAACCAAAGCAATGGGGGGATGATGACAACAAGTAGGCATCACTTTGATTCCTTTGTGGTTTGGACATTTCTGTGTCTGAAGAAAAGGGAAGCATCCTCGGGGGGGTTTGGGCAGCTGGACCAGTGTAGTTTGGGCTCCTAAATGCTGTGATGGGCGGTTTGGTGATGCCGTGATGGGCAGTTTGGTGATGCTGTGATGGGTGGGTTGGTGATGCTGTGATGGGTGGGTTGGTGATGCTGTGATGGGTGGGTTGGTGATGCTGTGATGGGCAGTTTGGTGATGCTGTGATGGGTGGGTTGGTGATGCTGTGATGGGCAGTTTGGTGATGCTGTGATGGGTGGGTTGGTGATGCCGTGATGGGCAGTTTGGTGATGCTGTGATGGGCAGTTTGGTGATGCTGTGATGGGCAGGTTGGTGATGCTGTGATGGGCAGTTTGGTGATGCTGTGATGGGTGGGTTGGTGATGCCGTGATGGGTGGGTTGGTGATGCCATGATAGGTGGGTTGGTGATGCTGTGATGGGTGGGTTGGTGATGCTGTGATGGGTGGGTTGGTGATGCCATGATGGGTGGGTTGGTGATGCCGTGATGGGTGGGTTGGTGATGCCATGATAGGTGGGTTGGTGATGCCGTGATGGCTGGGTTGGTGATGCTGTGGCTTGGTGATGCCGTGATGGGTGGCTTGGTGATGCCATGATGGGTGGGTTGGTGATGCTGTGATGGGCAGGCTGGTGACCCCATTCTGGTGATGAATGTGGCCTTTTGGTCCCTCCAGCTATGTGGGAAGGGGCAGCAGTGGTTGCATGCTGCTGGCGCCAGGCAGGCCCAGGACAGGCTGTCCCCATATGTTGGCTCGCTGTGAAACAGCAGCTCAATACTTTTATTATCGTCAATCCCAGGCCTGTAATGTTCTGCAGGGAGGCCCCTCGTCCCCATCGCTTCAGCCTCTTTCTCTGGTGGGATCCTCATGGGCTTTGCTGCAAGATAAAATGCAGCAGGTGCAAGAACATGTGTTTATGTGGCATTTAGGGCAGCCCTTGGAGGTGGGTTGAAAGCAGGACTAAACCTCCATGCTTCCAAACACTTTGTTTTTCAGTTGTGTGGCTGTGTTCTGGCTGCCTTTTTATATCTAATTTTTAAGGAGTCTTTTATTTTCCCCCCTTGTGTTTTTAAGCTCAGTCTTTCAAAAGCTGGTGCGAAACGTTCCTGTTAAATGCAGGATTTGCCATAGGGTCTGTGAGAAGGTCCATCAAGAGCTCATGGTGCTGGATGCCTGAGAGCAAATCTTCTTAAATCCAGTTAAGGAAGGCTTAAAACAAACCTGGTCCATAGAAAACACCCTGCCCAGCAGCTGGTCCTTGCTGTGTTGCAGACTGAGGGTGTGAAAATCTCCAGCTCTCACACTGTGTATTTCAATACATGCCTGGAGAAGAGAAGGCTGTGTGGAGACCTCATAGCAGCCTGCCAGTACCTGAAGGGGGCCTATAGGGATGCTGGGGAGGGACTCTTCATTAGGGACTGCAGTGACAGGACAAGGGGTAACGGGTTCAAACTTAAACAGGGGAAGTTTAGATTGGATATAAGGAGGAAATTCTTTCCTGTGAGGGTGCTGAGGCACTGGAATGGGTTGCCCAGGGAGGTTGTGAATGCTCCATCCCTGGCAGTGCTCAAGACCAGGCTGGACGAAGCCTTGGGTGCCATGGTTTAGTGTGAGGTGTCCCTGCCCATGGCAGGGGGGTTGGAACTGGATGATCTTAAGGTCCTTTCCAATTCTATTCTATTCAACTCTATTCTATTCTATGTGTGTGTTGTGTTCCCCAGTGCCTCTTTATTGTCCAGTACCTCTGCAGGCTTTGCGCTCTGGAGCCTTAACTCTGAATTTCCCGGCTGCCGGATTACACATCTTCCTCTCTCCATCTCGATCTCGCGCTGAGACGGTGTCATATGCTTTTGAACGTATGTATGTACTACAAAGTGGTGTGAAAACGTTCAGTGTAACCTGATGTTCCAGTTCATATGTGACAAGTATTTCCCAATAATGGCTTGGCAGCGGGGAGAGAGGAGTGGTACTGCAGGGCGGCCGATTGCTCCATGGCTCGGCAATTCAAACCATGTGTACTGGGGGAAGGCGAGCATTTCAGACCCTCCCCGCGCCTGCAGACTCAGCCACAGCAGAGGCTCTCTTGCTGCGCTTATTTTGATTTATATTTTAAAACAATATTGTTATTTTAAGTGTTTATTTATTGTTTTTAGCCAAACTCCATGCACAGGGATCAGCCCTCTCCAGCTCGCTGAAGTTTGGCTCCGTACTCTCTGCGGTTCCCA